TAAAGTAACGATATTGATGATTTATAACCATTTCAAAATGCCATATTATGCCAAGCTTAGGTAAGATTTTATTGTTTCGAAGACGAAACTAAGCTAAGATCGTGTTTAACCTACACGAATTCAGATTTTAGATCCGGTACAAAACTGTCTGCAGCCAAAACGTGTCGAATTCGAGAGGAGTGACACTGAAGGCTAGCTCTTAGCAACAGTATCAATTGAGTCAAACAATCCCTTCACTTAATACAACGTATATAACGGATCCTCCAATTAATATCGGTTGGTATTTATTAACTCTGGTGTTCCTAACAGGTGGAGTGATTAATCTTAAACCATCTCCGTCGAAATAATTATCTCACGTGAGTGAAAATTAAAGCCAAGCACATAGTAAATGGAGAAGAGCGATTATCTAATAAATAAGTAAATATTTAGGAGACATGTGTACACAAAGTTCTCTAGTCCCAAACTAAGCAACGCTTGTACTATGGATACTAGATAACTGATGAACGTACTTAAATATACTTTCTTTTGTAAATAAATATATATAATACATAATATTAAACACCCAGACGTTAGAAAAATACTATGTTCATCACACAATCTTTTTCCAGTAATGGGGATCGAACCCACACCCTCTGGCGCAGGAGGCGCACTACCCAGTAAGCCATTCGGTTCTTAGTTTGGTTTTTTCTATCTATCTTGCGGGGTCGATAAAGTTTATATGAGGTAGTCGATTTAGACTAACCTTAATTTAATAGTCAAAACTCAAAACTTCTTGAGCTGAGCTGTGATATAATGTAAGATATTCGCATGAGAAGACCCATCAATTATTCGACTAATAACGTATTACAAGCAGTCAACATTTTTAGGCCGATAAATACGTTGAGAAATGATTATTAAACCATACAATTTGTACAGCGTAGATGACCGACTAAATCCAGTTATGATAAAATACTATTCTACGTTATAAAATGTATTGGATGTTAATCTAGACGAGTTGCCACTCCCTAAAACTAATATTATGGATACGGAAGAGATATTTTTCGCCCTTTAGATTGTTTTAAAGGCGCACCCGAAACCTTGGGCAAAATGTATAGAAATGAAGATTGATGATCTCTCAGTAAGTTTACAAGCCGTTATTTAATTTAACACACCTGCTCCACAGGCGAAAGAGTAGGTTTTGTTCATAAATTAGACTACAAAATTCGGTAAGCTTTTGCTAATGAAAGTAATGTCGAGTTTATTTAAAAAAAAAAATTTTTTTTTAATTTTATGATTATAAATTTCCCGCGAAATTCAAAACATAACATTTAAATATATTGAAGTTCTGCACTATATGTTAGAAATATCTAGGTAAAGGGCTTTTTAATTTTGGTTAAGTGAAGAATAGCCACCGATTAATGAAGTTTCATATAGATACCATGGACAACAATAGGAGTGTAATTAATGAAATTATATATCCATATTTAATAAAGATTTGAACAAAATCTTATGTCTCATTATTTATTTAGTACAGAGTCCGCATTTTACTTACTTTTCTCTTTAAACTGGAACCGGAGAGCTAAAATAGAATGTTTGTCTATCATGTATTACATTTGTGCGGTCATGTGTTACATGACCGCGCCCTTAATTAATTGTAGGTAAAATTTTAGACTGAAACGCTTGTGTGTAGTCGTTAATAAGAATGAGTTTATTAAATAACTATTTGCACAGAATAAAAGAGTTCAATTTTACCTTAATTTTTTTTTGGTCACGATTCTGTCTGTGTAAACGTAAGAAAAATTATGAATTCCTTATCTCTGTAAAGGAAAATCTCTTTGTGAATCAATTTACAAGTTGCCTACTAAACCAACGAAATAATTCACAAAGTAAACATTGCCATATTCGGAATTTCATTCAATGGAGTGGAAAATCAGATTATAGATGGAAACATTTGACCGACAATTTTAATGTACTTTTACGTGCTTTCTTCAAGTCATTAATTCAAGTTTCAATGCAATAAAAACTATGCATTTCGAAAAATCTCACCATCGTGTTCTTGCAACTCGTTGCGGAAATTATAAAAAAAAAATCATCTTTTATTGAATGGTTCACCATTCTGTTAAAAATTATGTAGAGACAAACATACACGAGTCAACTTTAAGGAGTAAGACTGTGCCATGTTTATGTTTAGGTAACACAAGTTATTTTTGTAGAGTTACTGATTGTCTGCTAATGAATCGTAAGAAAAGCACTACTAACTGAAAACAGTATGTTGTGGATGACGTTGTCATAACTTTCTGAAGTGTCTATCATGATATTATGAGACATTTTTTCATTGTCATAATCATCGCCTCTTTAGCTCAGTGGTAGAGCACTGGTCTCGTAAACCAGGGGTCGTGAGTTCAAACCTCACAGGAGGCACAGTTGGTGTTATTTTTTAAATTTTAGTCATTTGTAATATTTTGGTTGATGTTCTATAGATTACCATGATAACGTTATTCATTGGTGAATTAGTAAATCTCTGCAAAAAGCCATCTGATACAATAGAGCGCTACTAATTCAGGTAGCATTTGTTCCAATTGAAAGACTGGCTATGGGCGTTAACAGCTAATGTAATAAATCGCGTAGCAAGCGTATTTTCGACGAACAAATCCTTGACCCTTGAAGAGTGGAAATTTTAACTTAACTTATGTTCAACTATTAAATTGATGCAATTATGAAAAAGTTACTTACCATAATTGTCTTCACCGTTAAATTATTCTTCAAAACGTCGAATTGGTCTAAAAAAGTTCCCCTGAAAATTGGAATTAAGTTTTAAAGACTGTTTAATATGTTATTGTAGAGGTGAGCGGTGGTATTCGTTAAGTTCTGATTAGAAAAGTCTAAAACGTATACGCAACCCCAAGGATGTTAAATTAAATTGATCATCAAAATAATTGGATTGCAATTCACTGTTCGTAGTGTACTACGAACAGTGAATTGCAGTAATAATACTTGCTACAGGACGACACACCACTAGGAGTATGTATGACTGGTACAAGTGAGCGGTCAATCGGAGTCAATGGATGCAGGTGGCTCAGGATCGTGTTTCGTGGCAGTCTTTGGTGAGGCCTGTGTTCGGCAGTGAACTCAAACAGGCTGAAATTATTATTTTACTGTTAGGTTAACTCGTTAGATAACGCTAACACATATATAACGCCTAATATTTTCAATTTCTAATTTTTTTATACTCTCACCTATTCGTTCAACGGGATACGAACACAATGTTGTATCGAGAGTATAATATAATGGTGTCTGGCCTGATACAATGCCCAAAAATTGTGTAGCTCTTTAAGTTTTTACGAAAGAAGCCCCGACTTAATTCGAGTCAGCTTTTGCACTTCTAGAACAATGTATTTTGTACATAATAGCAATTTTTTTCACGAATAAACATGCTAAGGACAAATATATTGTTACGTGTTAGGGGTTCGAAGGATTTGGAGAGAAAGACCTGCTGACTCTTTTGAAGACTTTATTTACGCGCACTAGGTCCAACACAAAGCACTAGGTCCAAACACTAAGCTTTTTTTGTTTTAACACAAACACTTTGTGTGTTCATAACCATATTTAAAATATAACGTATACGTACGGAAGATATGGAGTCCATGGTCTCGATAAGAAGATATTAATAAATAAAAATCATGAAATCATTACTCCAGTTACTAATTCGTATCTAATTCTTATAGTCGTGTTTCGTGAAACGTTAACAAGTTTTTAAGTGTATAAACTCTAAAAGTTCTAAAGACCTCTTCGTGTTACAAATTGCCTGCCAAGAACGTCAAATCGTGATACCTTATTATATTTTTGTGAAGGGAAAGTCACTTTTTGAATCAATTTAAAACTTTTTCTCCAACTGCTATCAAAATGCACGAAATAAACAGCAAAATAAACATCGGAAATATCCGGAGTGTCATTCGATTGCGTGGAAAATGAGTTCGCTCGTTGAAACATTTCCAAATAACAGAACTTTTTAATGCGTTTCACCGTTCTTACTTTTTGCGAGAAAATATCAGAGCCTCGAATCGAAGTACGCGAACAATGAGTTGATTAACAACTAGTTCATTTTCTTAGCTAAGTAAATATGAACCTTAAATTGTATAATTCAAAAAATAATATGCTCAGAAATATTCTATTCCTATGGTATTAAAGGATTTAGTTTATAAATGAAGACTGATCTTTCAATAACCTTTTCGAGCCATAATATAATTTAACACCTGTTCCGTGCACCATCTGCTATTAGTCTTTGTTGAAGCGACCATTACTTAAGGTATAAGCTATTATTACATGTAGAAGCATATAAATTTTATACATATGCCATTGTACATAAGTAAATATTTTTATGTCTATATCTTTGTATATCCTAAAATGTTAATACAGGGTAAAATCTGAGCCAATGATCCATGAAGAAAGGAGCATATGGCTGAAGAATGCTTGTGACGTAATAATCAGCGATTCAAATGCCGGTTATTAAATAAGACCATTTAGTCTGTCCTTAACGATTTCTGCCTAAAGTTTTATTGTTGACACACTGTAGGCATAAACTTCCTGGACAGACCTCAGTCGCTGTAGAACGTCGATAGACCTTTAATCTCCTCGAATCCGGTCTAAATAAAAATCAGGACTTCTCACACAATAGGATTTCATCCCATTGCTCTTTCGACCACTTAGGGGCTCCCTGTACCATGCTACTCAGCGACCTCGATTGCCGTGATGGATGGGTAGTTTCTATACTCGTGCAGCTAGTTTCGTTCAGTTTGGAGGCTAAAACAAGGCTAACAACACCAGTTGGCTTTTGAAGCCTCAACCCCATCTCTCGAGCGGCTATGTTAGTGTAAGGTATCTGTCATTTTAATGTATTGGTCAGTCCGCCATTAAACGTCAAACATCATAGACCTCTTTCATTTACCTACTATATACCACATTGGCGACGAGGAAAATTTTGGTAATTACGTGTGTGTATTGTCTAGACCACCGGCTTAGCAATGTCTATTGGGAAGATAGCGGAGTTTAAAGTGCACACTGACAATTGGAGATTGTATGTGGAGAGGCTGGAGCAATACTTTGCGGTAAACAAAATCGCCAGCGAGCTTCATGTGCCTACATTAATCACGGTCATGGGAGCAGAATGTTATGAGCTACTGGTGAGTTTATGTACCCCGGAAAAACCCACGTCGAAAACATTTTTGGAGTTAACGAAAATTCTAGAAAACTACCTTCAACCCAAGCCTAGTGAACTTGCCGAAAGATTTAAATTTCGACAAAGGAAACAAAGGGACGGCGAATCAATTTCAGAGTATGTGGCGGACCTAAAAAAGATGTCGAAGACTTGCGAATTCGGTAGCTGGTTGCAAGAAAGTTTGCGTGATCAATTTGTATGCGGTATCAGTAGTGAAACGATTCGGCAACGTTTATTTGCAGATGGCAAACTAGATTTTGGCCAAGCATATCGTTTAGCAGTAAATATGGAGGCGGCGGAGAAGGACGCAGCAAGTGTTGAGGTTATTTCAAGGGCACCGGGAGACGCGAGCGCATCTACAAGCAGCTGTCACGCGGTTTTTAGTGCGAAGCGAACGGAGCGAGCGATCGGTTGTGACGGCGAGCGGCGCGCGGGCGCTGGCTGGCTGCGCGGCAAAGGACAACGGGCGGCGGCGGCGGTGCCACCGGTACACAACGTGCCACGTGGATCCACTTCGATGCCGGATGACCGACGGCAACAACGGCGAGTGTGTCGAGCGTGCGGCAGGGCACACGATGTAGTGGCATGCAAGTTTGCTCGCTACATATGTCGAGTGTGTAATAAGCAAGGTCATTTACAACGGATGTGTCCGTATCTGGCGGGACAGCATAGTGTCAACATAATACGCGATGACGACACGATACGACATGACGAGGTTGTAAGCAGTGACGAAAGTGACGAGGTAATCGTCAACATTAATCAGTTAAGCGTTAGGCAATACAAACCATTATTTATATCATTAATAGTGCATGGAAAGGAAGTAAAAATGGAATGTGATACAGGCAGTGCAGTTTCATGTATTAGCTATGAGTTATACAAACAGAAATTCAGTTCCTTGAATATTAAAAGCTGCCCTTTGTTGCTACGGTATTATACGGGTGAACAAGTAAAACCCCTAGGAGTTATTAAGCCCTTAGTAAGGTATAAAGATAAAGAAAAATATCTAGATTTGTATGTTATTAAAAATGGTAAAAGTATATTGTTAGGCAGACAATGGTTAGCAGAACTCAGAATACAAGTGCCCACTTTCGAAAGTATGAATTGTTTATCGAATGATGTTTTTAATTTGAACGATTTCAGTTCCAGATATTGTAAAGTGTTCGCGGACGGCCTGGGGCGGTTCACCGGTTCGCCAGTGAGCATACGCGTGCGCGAGGGAGCTGAGCCCGTGTTCCTGCGCGCGCGGCCGCTGGCCTATGCTCTGCGCGCACCCGTGGAGCGCGCGCTCGAACAGCTGGTGGCGGATGGTATCCTCACGCCCGTCGATCGTTCCGATTGGGCGACGCCAATCGTGCCCGTAGTAAAGAAAGACGGTAACATTAGGATTTGCGCTGATTATAAACTAACACTAAACAAAGTAAATAGAAGTAGACCGTTATCCATTGCCTAGAGTGGAAGACTTGCTAGTGCGTTTACAAGGAGGGCAGCGATTTAGTAAGATAGATCTCTCACAGGCTTACGCCCAGTTTGTGCTTGATGAATCAGCAAAATATACGGTTATCAATACACATAAGGGCTTATTTAGATATAACCGGTTAGTGTACGGCTTATCCTCAAGTCCAGGGATTTTTCAAAAACATTTGGAGCAATTATTTAATTTTCCCTACGTAGGCGTGTTTTTGGACGATATCATTATTACGGGACGCGACACAGAGGAACATATTACTAATTTGCATAAGGTATTTAGTCGTTTGCAGTCGTACGGACTTAGAGTTAAAAAAGAAAAATGTGTTTTCTTCGCCGAGTCAGTCAATTACTTAGGCTACGTAATTAGTAAGGAGGGCATTCGCACATGCCCGGATAAGGTTAAGGCAATCATAGACACTCCTATTCCCACGAACGTGTCAGATTTAAGAGCTTATATTGGAACGACAATGTATTATGCGAAATTCATAAAAAATATCAGTACTATTCTCGCGCCATTGTACAATTTATTACGATCGGGAGTAAAGTTCGAGTGGAACAATGCGTGTGATCATGCCTTTAAAGAGATAAAGCGTTTATTAATTTCGAGTGACGTTCTTATGCATTACTCGAGCGAACTACCGGTTGTACTGACATGCGACGCAAGCAGCGTTGGTATAGGCGCCGTCATCTCGCACCTGACACGAAAAGGCGAGCGGCCAGTCGCGTACGCGTCGCGCTCACTCACGGCTGCGGAGCGCGCTTACTCGCAGATCGACCGGGAGGCCCTGGCTATAGTGTTCGGTATAAGAAAATACCATCAATATTTATATGGCAGGAAATTCATATTACGTACAGACCATAAGCCGTTAACACATATTTTTGGTAGAAAAACGGGAATACCGGTTATGGCCGCTTCTCGTATTCAACGATGGGCCGTACTGTTAGCGGGCTATGACTACGATATAGAGTACGTCACATCCAATAAAAATTGTGCCGATGGTTTATCAAGGTTGCCGCTTGCTAATAATAAAGAAAAAACAATTAGTGAAATTACTTACGTTAACTTTGTGGAAAACTTTTTACCTGTTACTAATGAAGACATTAAGAAAGCAACTTCAAAGGATATCATTCTTAGTAGAATTGTCACTTATATTCAATCGGGTTGGCCGTCATTGTGTCCCAATGATGAAATAAAATCTTATTTTACTAGGGTAACGAATTGTATTTGGATAGCGGATCGATCATGTGGGGTTATAGAATGGTAGTACCTTCATCTTTACGTCCTATTATTTTAAAAACAATTGCACAGCAGCCACATGGGTATAGTGAAAACCAAGGGCTTAGCACGCAGTTACGTATGGTGGCCGAACATCGATGCAGACGTAGAAGCGATATGCCGAAACTGCGAAACTTGCGCCGCCGAAGCGGACGCACCACCACGTGCGCACCCACAACCCTGGCCATACCTACCTCCCTGGTCTAGACTACACGTAGATTTCTTGGGACCTTATAAGAGTAAAACCTTTTTAGTTTTAATAGATTCTGGTTCTAAATGGCTCGAGATAACGGAATTATCGCGGACGAATGCGACGTCTGTAATTAAAGTACTTAGATCAATATTCGCAAGGTTCGGTCTGCCCATCGAACTAGTGTCCGATCAAGGACCGCCTTTCACAAGTATAGAATTTAAATCTTTCTTGAAAAATAATGGAATTCAGCAGAGGTTCTCCCCCGCATATCATCACCCAGCTTCGAATGGTGCCGCTGAAAATGCGGTTAAAATGTATAAAAGGGCAATTAAAAAAGCATATAGGGACAACGTCGATGTTGACACCGCATTACAAACGTTCTTACTGGGCTATCGGAACAGTAAACATAGCACAACGGGTGAGAGTCCAGCTATGCTGTTGCAAAGGCGATCTTTGCGTTCACGTTTGGATTTATTGCGGGGTGAGTGTGCGGTGCAGAAACGTGTGCTCGACAGTCAGCAGCGGCAGGCAATAAGACGTAGGTCGCGCCTATCCGATGTTACCTGTCCGGATGTAGCTAATGATGTAGAAAGGGCTTCAAACGGGCCTGAGGATGAGTTCGCAGATGCGTGTTCCGATTTGCAAACTGAAGGGGTAGCTTCTGCAACGGAGAGAAACAAGGAAGCTGAGGAAGCGGAGGGCAGCGATGATACGCCAGGAGATACTCCGGTTGTCAGCGATACGGTATCAGAAGCTCCCACTCCTCCACATTTATCACCACCGGTGACCCGTCCCAAGCGAATCCGTAGACCCGTTATTCGTTATAATTAATTATTATACCTTTTTTTTTTTTTTTTTTTTTTTTTTTTTTTTTTTTTTTTTTGCTTAAAAAATCATTTGTTAAGCGTACGTTTATATTATATTTTAGTTTATATACAATATACATATATTTTATTTTTTATTTTATATAAGTTTGGTATTAAGGCTGGAGGTGTAAGGTATCTGTCATTTTAATGTATTGGTCAGTCCGCCATTAAACGTCAAACATCATAGACCTCTTTCATTTACCTACTATATACCACAGTTAGTTTAAGGTATTGCGGTGAGTCGCATGATTTTGCTCATCGGTGATACTCTTTTCTCGACCAGTATAATGTTCTATAAAATATAAAGAAATACTAATAAGATACGTAATTAAATTTAATTATTTTGCCAAGTATCGTTAAAATATATCATGTTGCTTAGACTTTTTTGATGTGTATAGGTATCAGTAAACAGTTCTTTTACAATGATACCTTGTGTTTGTAGAGCGAATATTACATATTGGTTATTTTACTTTTGTACTTTAAGAAAGTACTCTTCATTAGAACAATAAACAGTACTAAGCATATTATATAGAAATATTGCACACTTTATTAACTTTACGTCAAATTTCATTGAATACGTATTAAACCCTTGTTTTTGTGTTTTACTGCGATAGTAATAAAAACTTTTGTTTTTTCTGGCTCTTCTGGCTATCACTAAATATTACATTAACACAAAACCGAGCTAATTCAATTATATCGAAAATAAATAACTTTATTTAAAATATAAATAATATGTTTGGTAAAATACTGTCTGCTTTTAACCTTTTTTATTATTATAGAGAAATTTTTACACCGAAATGAGTACTCGTTAACAAGTATGAGTTTGCAATAAAACCCTGCATTTCAACATTCTGCGGTAACGTGTTGCGGAGATTATGAAAAATGGTTAACAAGTATTTACGTACAATGACGCTGGAGAGCGATAGCCAGTGATGTCCAGTAATTGTATATTTGTCAAATGGGTTCTATTAATAATTTTACATCCGATAATAATAATGTTTTAAATCTGAGTATTGAAAGTCTTTGATGAAAAGCATTTGCATGTCAAGTAATGTTGAAAATTTGAAATTATTGTTCACGCTATCCAATTCAACTGCAATCCAGTAATCCATTTCATACGTCCGAAAATAAAATTATACGTCGTATCAATGTATTTTAGTTATGTTTTTAACAGACCTATGGAACAGTGATAAAATTTAACGACATATTTAGAAAATTAATATAGCAGCGCTTTATGTACAAGACACTTCCATATAATTATTCCATATTATGTCCCACTACTGGGCAAAGGCCTCCTCTGTACAGAGGGTATCAGGGCATGGTGCACCACGCGGCCCCACTGCGTATTGGCGGACTTCACATATCTTCGAAATATTTTTTTGTTATTATTTTAAATATGCAGGCTCCCTCACGATGTTTTCCTTCACCGCAGAACACGTGATGAGTTAGCTTAAAATAAACAACTTCATTGGTGCCGACACCGGGAATCGAACTCAGGTTGCTAGAGTATATTGAATTAAAGGGCGAGCGCCCGGACACTGAGCTATCGCGGCTCGAATATAATACAAGTATTATATATAATCCCCAGCCACTGTACGAGTGACTATTAATTTAATAACGCTAACGTTATTCCGTAAATTGTACCATTAATAGCGATTTTTTGACCGCGGCGGTTAATTAAATTACGGTGTGAGACGGCAAAATTGTTTACCAGACACGCACAACTATTTCGTAGCTGATCAAATGGTGTTTTTTTTTAAAAAATTACGCATGTCATTGCAGAAATTGCCCTTTTGTAATTGATTTCGTCCAATTACCTTTATAAAATTAACTTTAGTAGACGATAACGAAGTATACAAGCTTTTGACTCCTGATGAGCCTGACGAAAAACTAGTGCGTTCCCACGACATGGAAAATTAACTGAATGCGATAATGAATGGAGTGCATCACAATTGTTGATGTCTTTTTTCAAACAGTACTGCTAAACGTATTATTAAAGTAATAGGGCAAGATTGGATGACCCTTGCTAAAGATAGAGGATTTTGGAGAAAGAAAGAAGAGGCCTTTACCCAAATGGGATCCACTTCACAAGAAGTTAAGTAACTGTACACTAGATTTAAGAACAAGCTAAATATACTAACAAGACGAACAAATATTTAAAATGTAAAATATGTGGATGCGGAAATAAATAGGTTTATTTCTTTGTTTTCTCGTCTGGTTGGGTTTATAGATAAAAAATAAACATTGCATAAATAAAATAAATATTATGAATAAAAATAATCATATAGATATAAATATTGTATATAATACATATGTATAGGTTTATTATTATTATTATTGCTAAACGAGCTGTCAGCTTATTCGATGGTGAGTGATCCCCACACCGTCTATTTTATGTGCTTTGCCAGCATTTGGGAAAAAGTAAATTGTTCTGTTTGGTTTTATTGCTATTTTAAGGAAGATATTAGACGCATAATATGAATTAATTTATTATTATGACGTAACTACTTGTAAGGTGATATAAAATATAGGTAAAGTTAGAATAATCCTACAAAAAAATGAGTGTTTGTAATATTTGCACACGGTAGAAGTAAAACTAAAAAAATAATCTTTAAAATATTTAATACTCATTTAATTAATAACTTATTTAATTATTTAATATTAAATTAGTTAAATTAAATGACGATATGATTTAATTAGTGCATTCCACATTATGTCCCACTTATTTAATTTATTATTAGTTTACTAATTAATACTTTAATAAATAATATTGATGATTATTATAAGATGGTTTATTGATTTACTAATAAATAATAAGTTACTTATGTTTTTTTTTTATTTTAAATGTATAGTTCAGACACATATATTCATACATACAGCGAAAATATTTTAAAATCTGATGCTGTACAAACGTGTCAACACCGTAACGCGTTTCCGTTCCATTATCCTCATACAAAGCATTTAGTTACCCCAAGATAAAGTAAAAAGTGTTTGGATACGCGCGCTTTAAATACATTCGATGGGGCCTCACTGATATGGACTGGCAGAGCATTCCACAATTTTATTGCTGTACAGGTGAAAGCACTGGAATAGTAATCCATGCGACATGCGGGGGTATTTAAATAAATGCTTAGTGCCAATGAAGGATTTACATTTTTATAACACAAATTTTAAATTGATAAGACAACATTCTGAAGTAATAAACGGTTAATCGAACTATGAGATAGAGTTATTGCAAATGTTAGTACCGAAAACATCGATTAAATCGAGCAGAATAATTCGATTTTAATCGGGCAGCATAATTTCTCCCATTAGAATTAACTTTGGCGACAAAGGGTAACGCAATGAAGTGATCATCCGATAATTGTATTCGAGCTAGTAATTTGTACCTAATGCGGTTGCGCTGTTGCGTGGTCATTTGATTATATTGCGAGACAGCACATTATTCCCACAGGACGGCGCGTGTCTATTACGTCACGCGTGCGACGGACAGACTCACAGAAGTTTCTGATGCATGAATGGCTCGACAGATGATCTATTTTACTTATTTATTGGATTTTTAAGTAGGTAATATTCCGAAAATTTATACAGATAATTTACAATATGTATAGGAAGTAACAATAAAAAACGCCACCCAGCTGCGAGGCGGACGCGCGCACATATGGTTCCGTACAATTATCTATAAAAACAGCAAAAAAACGTCTTATATTTTTTTGCCTTTGCTTTATTTTGTTATTTTGTATTTGTTATAGTTGCAACAGAAATACATCAGCTGTGAAAATTTCAACTGCCTAACTATGACGGTTCATGAGATACAGCCTGGTGACGGACAGACGGACAAACAGCAGAGTCTTAGTAATAGGTTTTACCCTTTCGGTACGAAACCCTAAGAATCTGTTGAATCTGAAGAGAAGGTTGGGTGATACCATCAGCTTGGGATCCTATTGGTAATAAAATTAAATCTAGGCCCAAAGGAACCTCTACTGCAAGAGAAGATTAGACACAAAAATAATAATTTTAAAAAATGTGAGGTAATCCGGGTTCACAATTACATTCAGAAATTCGGAAGTTACATGAATTTTTTATATATTTTAGTAAGACAGATTTAAAATGGTTTTCTGGTGAAATACATTTTATATGCGTATTATTTCTGCTACGCCCGTACGCAACATACGAATCCGTTGCGCCGTAATTAATTTGAACACTAATGTTATCGGTAATGCAATTTGAATCTGGTTTTAGTAATTTGATTGAAGCGTGATACAGCAGAATTAATCCCGAAGGTGCCCTACAATGCCGTCACGGACGAATGGGCATGCCAGTAATGACTATAGTTGGAATAATTATTGAATTAGCTAATAAATTTAATGATTTATAACTGTCCTATATATTGAATTACCACCTTTACTTGTACTAGTATAAAATACCCGTAATAACCTCTTACTCTATATTATGAACGTTCGAATGCTATACAGACTCAAAAAGTACTAAGAGCTAGTTGAATTTATTACCTGTTTTACGTTTAGCCGGTATTAATTGTAGGGCAGTATGTTACATGAGGGAATGTTGGAAAAGTAAGTAAAGTGAATTCCAACAAATACGGACATACAGTGTAACACATGTTTCAGTTGTTACATGAATGCGTATAGTCCAGGTAAGTGTCATGGTCTGGTGCTACGGGGTAATCGGTCTCCACAATTATAAAGGTTGGCAACGGATCTAAAGCCCTTCAGGTATTGCGTGTCTTGGGTGGGGCTAATGACTTAACATGAGGTGAAGCACCGACGATTGAATAAGTCTGCAGTTTGTGATCATGTTTTAGACCGCTTCAACCAATACATTAGATTTGATCAACCGAAAATCCTCGCAAAAGAACACCGATTCCTACCAAGGATGATCCGCGAGGCTATTGAAATAAAGAAACATCCTAATTTCAATAGAGAAGATGGTTGGGGTTTATCA